GGATTCATCAAAAATCGACCCACAGATGGCTCGGCTGATAGATAATTAGCCCCTCTCATGCCGCAGCTCTGGGTTGCGGAACTCAAGACTCCATCCGGAGGGAGGAAGGGCTGCTTGAGACCAGCATGCAGAGCCAGAGCTGGGACTGGAGCCCAGCGGATGACATCTGCCTCCACCCCCACCACACTGATAGTTTTAAAAGGCCCTGGGAGGATACCTGCCCACCCTTCGGGCAGAAGATACTAAGGTTGGGAGTCTCTTAGGACCCCGCTTATAAACCTGCTTCCAGGAGGTTCCAACACGCTGACCAAGTCCAGCCTGGGTTTGAACACTTGTCCGTCCGGAACCTGCAGTCTGGGGAAAGTGATTTTAGCGTTCTGTGTTTTCCTTTCCTCATCCATAGAGTGGGTATGACGTCACCAGACAGTTCTGCACGGTAGATGGGCTGGCAGCTGTGACGTGCTCAGAGTGGAGGCGCCCCGGGCATGACAAGCGGGGAATCTCAGGGGTGTTTGCTCATGTGAGTCCTGGCTGGAGAGCTGCCACTGGAGGCAGGCAACCTGTGGGGATTCCCTCGGGACAGTCTCACTTCCTGGTGACCAGGTAGCTGTAGCAGCACGCAGGTATATTTCTGGAACTTTCAGTGTACCTACAAGGCAGTAGTTCAGGAGCTAGCACCATGATGAGGAGCCCTCTTCTGTTCATGTGCGGCCTCCTGTTCCCTGCAGACGGGGTGGCGAAGTGTGTTGGCTTCTTCCGGCACCAGCTGGTATCCTCACCCAGGAGAACGGAGTGTTCGAGGGGGCCCTGGTGGGGAAGCAGAGCCCTGGCCACTGTCAGCTCTCTTTAGCTCCACGTGAGCCGCTCCACGGGGAAGGGATGGCTGCTTTCAGTCACACTCGGAGAAAGAGGTTTCCATTTCAGAAATGTGTATTTGTTTATTTATTTGTTGTGATGGTAGAAACTGTGGCTCAAACAGGCCCCAAGCTGTGATCCTCCTGCCTCAGCCTCCTGAGTGCTGAGGTGACAGGCATGCACCACCTCACCTGTCTTTTAAAATGAGGCTGTTTGAAGATGTCATGGATTGGGGGGCAGCCCGGTTTTGAGCTTGTGTAGTACATGCGCACCTGGGTTTGGTCCCCGCCCGGCACAGCATAAACCAGGGTGGTACAACCCTGTAATCCCAGCACTCAGGAAATTGAGTCAGGAACTTTAGGAGTTCAAGGTCATTCTCAGCTACATGGCAAGTTCAAGGTCATACTGAGACCCTGTCTCCAAAACACCAGAAAAACAGCAGTTGATTAGCAAGAGCTAGCTGCACGGCGACAGGAATGGGGACTGTGGCACTGGATGGAAGAAGTTGTGGGGTGACAGTTTTGGGGTGAGGTGGGGCAGCAGGCAGTCGGAGGGCAAGGTTCAGGTGTCCTCTGTTGTCCATTCTGGGTGCCTGTGGGGACAGTGAGTCTGTCTTCTTGAATGTTGTTGGGGGTAAGAGGAGAGCCCATGTCACAGGGGTCATGGAAGGGCTGAGAAAACCCTGCAGGGTGGTGATCACTGCCCGGAGATGGCTCACACTGCAGTGTGAACACTCTGCTTCTGCCTCTGGGTGACCTGCTGCTTCTCTCACTCCCAGTTGTCTGATAGAGAAACTGAGGCACAGCAGTGTTAAGTGACTAGACACGGAACTCGAAAAAGTCTGTGCTCTTAACTGTCACTCAGGGTGGCTCAGAGAGGCCACTGCATTGGCTTTCTCTGGTGGCAGATGAGGTTTTAGCGTGGCAGGGAGCCAAGGGAGCCAGTGTCTGCCCTCTGGGGTGCCACCCTCAGTGACCGTGCCAGGCTCCCGTCATACAGTGTCCTGGGTGGCCTGGTGCCGTGACACTTTCTCCCCAGCTCTCTGTGGCACTTGTTTTACAGCCAGCCCAGGGCTTGGGGCAGGTAGTGTGAGCCGCTCACAGTCCTGTCCTGCCCCCTCCCCACCCCACCCCTCCACCTCCACCGAGGGGGAAGGCAAATGCTCAAAGAGACATTGTCCTTGTCAGCCTGTGGAGGCACCTGGGTTGGAACCAGGTACTCAGAGCACAGTGGGAGAGGTGACCAGGCATTTGTTGAGAGGTCAGGAGGGCTCCACCAGCGGAGGCAAGGAGAGACAGCAGCCCCTGGGACTCTCAGCAGGGAGGGCCCACAGCTACCCTGGACCAAGAGACCGAGAGGTGGGAGTACCTCATGGGGCCCCAGCAGAACTGTGGTCACAGATGGGGAGCCACTGTGCTGCCGGCTGCCGGCAGCGGGGAAGGGGGGCAGAAAGAGGAAGAGTAGCTAAGCTCCCAGCTGGTGCTCCCAGAGGTGGAAGCAGGCGTGACTCCTTGTGAAGAGATGGGAAGGCTGAACAGCATCCACCCGGCTCCCTCCCTGGGGCCTCTCTGGAGATGGCACCATCCAGAGAACCAGCATGGCTGGCTCCTCCTTGGGGGCCTCGGAAGTGTCTGGAGACGCATGTGGGTGCCCTAGGCTTCTGAGTTGTGTGGACCCAGGCTGTGGCATGGCCCTCTAGAGCCTGGCATCCCCCACTCTGCAGAATTCAGTTTCTCAGAATCTCCACTCTTGTAGTCACCAGACCCTGCCCAAGGTACAGGGGACCCAGGCGTAACCGACAGATGCCCCATCTCTGCCCTCATGGGGCTGTCCCTCCTGTGGGGGGCGGGGACGGGATGTGTGTGGATGGGTTCAGGAAATAAGATCATTTCAAGATGTGGTGGTGATTGATTGACAGAAATCAAACAGGTGATAAAACAGGGGCCAGGGTGGGCCTGTCTGAGGAGGTGGCATTGGCTAGTGCCTAGACTGGACGGAGCAGAAGGAGCCTGTCAGGCAGAGACAAAACTCTTAACAGTGATCACAAAAGGCAAGGCTCAAAAAGTCATGGGGTAGAAATGACCCCGTCTTGTCCGGCTACAGGAGGAAGCCAGCAAGGATGGAGTGTTGGGGTTGGGGGAGAGGTGAGGGAGAGTTGGTGCGGAAGGAGGACATTTGAGACCAGCCAGGGCCTGGAGCTGGCACGACCAGAAGCAGGTGCCCCCTCCCCCACTTCAGGTCCTACATCTGAGTTGCTGTCCCCACACTCAGGGCGCTGCTGAGTCAGGGGATCTGCTTGCCATTTTAGGAAGTTCCCTCCAGCTGCCCTGAAGCGTGGAACACCTCTGGGCGCTCTTACAGCCCTAGGCAGGCGAGATGATGGTGATGTAGACAGCACAACCCTGTGGGGCCAGAGGACCCACTGAGGGCCCTGGCTAGGGCCCTGGGGTGGTTGCTGGGTCCCCCTTCCCCTACCTCCATGGCCAACAGGACAGACTCCTCCAAGGTCACAGCTGTGGTGACTGTCCTGACTTCAGGTCTTCTCTTCTCTTCCCCTCGGCAGAGTGGGTGCTGAGGCCGCTCTGTGGGGCTGCCGTTCCGATCTCCCTCATCCACCTTTGCCTGAGATACCGTCCGCCTGGGGTTACGGATGACTTGAGACTGGGATGGGAAGCGCCAGTTCCTCTCCTTCAGCTCTGTCTGGAGTCATTGCGTTTACCGGGCAAGTTCAACCCGGGAGGAACACTTTCACCCTTGCACGCATGGCCCTGACAGGTTGAGTACTTAGCTTGGCCGTGAGGAAACTGGGGTTTCTCTGTGTGGGGGACAGCCCCAGAGAGGTGGGTCCGATACAGGAACCTATGACCACTCAGCCCAAAGCATCCCAGAGTCCCAAGCCGCCTGCTGCTGGGACCTGAAGGGAAGTACCAGGTGGAGATGCTAGTGTCCTGTCCCCTTCTGTGTCTGAGTAGGAAGGTGAGCCAGAGCCAGGCTCTTTTCTGGGACAGGTTCTTCACTACCCACCAGGGGAGTCCCCATGGACAGTTCTGCTGCTGATCTGTCCCTGAGCCAACTATAAATACTTCTCTAGCTTAGCCGGCACCGCATTCACACTGTTCTAGAACATGGGTGAGACTGTCCTGGCCCACACCGGCCCTTCCTTGTGCGAGGCAGCATGCTAGCCCAGCCCGGGCACCTGTGATGCCAGTACTGACTCCCGTCTATCCCTCTCATCCTTCAGATCCTGAGGGAAGAGGGGAAAGAACCCCATCCACAAGACACCACCTCAGCCTCTGCATCCGGGAGGAAGCAACGGACCAGCAAGCCCCGCCAATGGCACCCCCTGGCCTGCCGCTATGGCTGCTCTCCACGGCTCTCCTGTCCCTGCTGGCCGGGAGCTCAGCTTTCCTGTCCCATCCCCGCCTGAAAGGCCGCTTCCAGAGGGACCGCAGGAACATCCGGCCCAACATTATCTTGGTGCTCACGGATGACCAGGACGTGGAGCTGGGTAAGTGGCTGATCCGGCCAGGACACCTGGGGCTCTAGAGGCGCCATGTCCCCACAGTCCCACGGAAGCTCCAGATGCCAGGCAGTTGTGTAGCGTTCACTGCTGAGCGGGTGCAAGCCAGCTCTTGCCTGGGTGCCTTGAGAATGTGGGTTCTTAGTGACCCTCAAGAATGGGGACCCCCAACTTCTCCTAATGCAGAGTGACCCCCCACTTCCTACAACATAAGGAGTAGAGAGACTGAGATAATTTCGCTCTTGTTGACAGCTTTGGTCTCCCAAGCTACTGGGCCATGGCCTTGGCTGACAGCTAAGCCATCCCTCGTCCCCTCCCTTCTGAGCAGCATGACAGACTTTTGCTCTTTCTACTACAAGAAGCCTTTTTTCTGTTAGCACCAGGAGGAGACTCCAAAACTGAGGCCACCAGAAGAGCTCTCCAGAGTCATTCTAGATCTGTTCTCGCTCACCCGTGGGGCATCTCCCAGAGAACCCCATTTCTCCCTCCCTGGGTCTTCTCACCCTGAAGTCACTGTATGGGTTCCTCCCCAGCTGAACCCACGTCCGTGCTGTCCCATAGGCACACTCAGCCCTCTGTATCCTCAGTTCTGCACTTACAGATTCAACCAAACACAGATCAAAAACACTGGAAAGTGTACGAAGATTTTCCCCACTCATTATTCCCGGAGCAGTACAATACGACAGTTGTACCCAGCACCCAGTGTCACAGGTCATTCAGGTGAAGAAAGGGGGTACAGGTTATTAGCAAAGAGCACAGCAATTAAACAAGGGCCTGAGTACCATCAGAGCCTGGTCCCCCAGCACCGAGGGACAACTGTATAACATGAGCCACAAATACAAGTGGCTGGGGATGTGGCTCAGCTGGAAGGGTGCTTGCCTGACGTGTGCAGAGTCCTGGTTCCGTCACCAGCAGGTGTAGTGACACTGAATTGTAATCCCAGCACTAGGGAGGTGGAGACAAAAATGACGAAAAGTTTAAGGTCATCATTATTGAATATATATATAGCTAGTGGGAGGCTAGCCTGGGCTACATGAGACTCAAAAATTAAAAGAATAGATAGGTAGGTAGGTAGGTAGGTAGGTGGATGGATGGATGGATGGATGGATGGATGGATGGATGGACGGACAGATGGATGGATGGATGGATGGAAACTAGTGAAATCAATTGCAGTAACATTTTGTTTAACCCAATATGAAACTTTCACCTGAAGTGTGATCAGTGGAGCGAATTACCTGTGAACGCTTTGCGTTCCTTTACCTTGCCCTCAACGCCTGGCATGTGTGTGTGTGTATCTTGGTTAGGACTGGCCACCTCTCAGGCACTCCACAGCCACATGTAGCTTGCAACCTTCCTACTGCCCAGCACGTGCACTCAAATGTGATTTCCTTCTCCTGCGCGTTCGGTGCCCCTCTTCATCATCTGTACTACGGTGCATTGTGAAAATCCAAAGGCAAGTGTCCTAGGTAGGGGAAACAGCATGTCCAAAGGCCCTGGGGCACGATCAAGGAAGCAGATATGGCCAGAACCTGGAAAGGGAGGTAACACGGGAGACTGGCAGAGGCTAGGGTCGTGGTAAGGACTGCCTGTTGTTGACCAGGTGAAGGGTGGGTCCTTTCTTCTGTCTGCTGTCCAAGGACAACAGAATATAGTTGGTGGCAATGAAGGGAATGACTTACAGGGTGGCTCTTCACAACCCACACTTGTGTTTCAACTACCTAAAAAGGCCACTTGCATAAACCCGAGCCAGCCTTGGCACAGTGGGTGCTGAGGACCCCAAGCATGGTTTCGTGTCTGGGAGTTACCAGTGCAGAACAGAGTTCAGAGCTTTATCGACAGCTTGACATACAGGGCACTGGTCATTGGGAAGGAGCTCTGCAGCATGAGGCTGTGGATGGGAGACGATTTGCATGCCGTGGCACGTGGACTCCTTCCTGTGGCCCTCAAGCTGTTGGCACTAATGTCAGGGCCCCTGAGGCACCCCACATGGCCACCCAGTCAGGCAGCATGGGTTTAACAAAAAGAGTAGGTGTTTGTCCTGAGAGGTGCTGGGGGCTGGAGGAGGGGGGCTGTGCAACAGGAAATATTGAAGCAAAGCAGGGTGGAGCCACTGGGACCAGATCCATGGAGCATGTGACCACGTGACCACAGGGAGGGAACAGAGGGATCCCGGGTATTCTTTTGAGACAAAGTCTAGCTATGGAGCCCAGGTTGGCCTTGAGCTCAGATCCTCGAGGCTGCCTCAGCCGCTGGAGTGTTGGGACAGGTATGAGCCACCACACCAGCTTGAGTGTCGTTCTTAGTGAGACAGGTGGGGGGGGGGGTGTGACCTCACGTGCATTCCCACAGGAACCCTCTGCTATTCTGATGACAGCAGGGGCACGAGCAGGAGCAAAGGGCCCTCCAGGAGCGAGCTGGCCGAGCATGAAGGCTCAGAGTGGGGTGGACCTGAGCCAGCCGCGACTAAAAGATGACTTTCAGGACAATGCCCTTGTTCCCAGCTGCGTGACCCGCTAAGCCAGAATCACATCACAACCTTGAATCTGACTCTTATCAAACCAATATAAACAAACAAGTCACAGGTCCATGGATGAGGTGAATTGGAGAGAAAACTGAGCCCATGGCTGACTAGAAATAGATACCCATCCCCCTCCATCTTACCAGTGGAGAACGTGAGGCTCAGAGACAGCAAGCCACATGTCTGGGTTGCACAGCTAAAATGTAGTGGAACAGGATTTTGAACCTAGGACCCGTGGCCTCCACCACTGCTCTGTTCAGCCAGTTCCCGGGATGGGTGATGGGCTGTCGCGAGAGTGTCCATGTCGATGCTCAACTGTCACAGGTACCTTCCCTGGCAGAATCTGCAGAGCTGCATCTCTGCTCACCAGAGTGAGTGTTCTGAAATGGAAATTTTAGGGAAGCAGTCAGTGGGGACAGGGCCTCACGTATTCTGTGCTGTGACAGCTCCCGCTGGCAGCCCTGGATGATAGAGGTTGGTGCCCTCCGACCGTCACCTCCCCACACACAGTGTCCTAAGCAAACCAAACTGAGTCTCTGTGAGGAATGTGAGGCGGGAAGTAGGTAGTTGGGGGGCTGATGGGCTTTTTATAAACCAGACAGACCCAGATCAATAATGCATGCTCCCCAAAAGCCCAGCACATTATCTCACAGTTGGCCACCACTGGCAAGCCAAGGGTGGTCCTGAAAAATTCATCAGCTGCTATTTTCTGCTTGTCTGTGAGGCGGCTCCAGAGGGCTTCTGGCTGGAGGCCTCTCCGCAGAGCTGATCTCGGGTGGGGACAGCTGTCCAGTCTCATCAGGACCCAGTGAGAAGAAGAGCTCATTCTGTCTCATGGTTGCTGTTTGTGTTTACCTGCTTTTCTGTCATGCCCCCAGCTCCCTGGTTGTCACCTGGGAGTGCTGGGTGCTGGGGACCGGTTCCCAGAGCATTAGTGAGCGAGAGCATGGGTTGTCTTGTCTGTTTGCAGAGCACTGAGGAAGTCTCTGAAGGCACACGGGAACATCAGCAGGACAGGGGGTTGGAGTTATACGTGACATCACAGTCCTGTCACGGGCTGTGCTGTGCCCAGGGAGGCCATGGAAATGCTGACTTCTGCCAGCATTGGCCAGGTGAATCAGATGCAGGCCAATTTCAGGACAGCTCCAGGGCTCAGCTAGCCTCTGAGTCCAAGGGGAGTCACACATAGCCTGAACCCAAGCTGTTAGATACGGTTGTTCCATCATAGATGGCAAAGGTCAGCCGTGGTGTTGTTAGAGGGCTCACTAAGGTGCTGTAAGGACGGGTGTCTCATCAGATATGGCAACTCATGAAGGAAGCCAGGGGTGGTAGTATACGCCTGTCACCCCAACACTCAGGGGGTGGAGGCAGGAGGATCACAAGTTCTAGGCCAACCTGGGCTACATAGTGAGACTGTGTCCCAAACACAAAACAAAATCAGACAGGCACAGCCGCAGCCCATTGGTCTTGACTATTCCAGTTACAAGTGACTTCCTGGAACTCAGCCCAACAGTGTGGGGAAAAACGGAACCAGCAACTTACTTTGGTAGGGAAATAAAAAGTTCAAGCGTACATGGAGCTTCTGGTGCATTTGGATCCAAGTGTGTCCCTCCAGATGTCACCAGTCTCTATGTGACATCCTGCTTTCCTCCAAACTGTGTCTGCCTTCAGGCCAGCTCACTAAGCAGACATTAGCATTTCCCATAAAGCCCAGTGTGACGAGCAGCTGGACTGGGATTGAGAGGAGCTAGGGAGGTTTTCCTAAAGGGAACGTGGGCATTGGCTCTGGAGGAGGTGAGCAAGTCAGGAGGCACTCAGGCTTTCCCTATCCGTGTCTCTGCAGCAGGATGAGCCATGTGGACCACACGCCCTCCTTGTATCATCATTGACTGAGCGCTCCTTAGTAGACAAAGAGTATCGAGCAACAAACAAAATAGACAGAATCTGGACTGACCCAGGGCATAGCACGGATGCGTGTCAATAACCAAGACACAACACACAGCATATGACATGGGACAGTGGTGAGAAGCAAGCAAGACAGAAGTCAAGTGAAGAGGGAAAGAGGACCCTCCACCTCCATCCTGGGTGATCTCACCGATGACGGGGACATTGGATTAAGAAAGGTCAGGGAACCTGTCAAGGTGACTCCTAGGAAGAGAATCCAAGTGGCAGTAACAGTTGGTGCAAGGGCCCTGAGGCAGAGGCATTCACAGCAGGCAGGCAGACAGAGTGGCAGAGCAGCCAGAGCCAGGGCACAGGAAGTGAGAAGACTGAGGGGTGGTGATGGTGGCATGGGTCATGCTAGGGCATGAGGCTCTGAACCAGGGAGAGGACTTGGGCTTCAGAGTAGGCGGACACCAGTGGATGACGCTGAGCAGGGAAGAGAAGCATTCTGATTTGCATTTCAATCTGTGGAGAAGAGACGGAAAAATATAACGAGGCAGGTGTCCAGCAAGGAGTCTACTGCTGTCCAGACACAGGAGGAGCCAGTGAAGCCTCTGCTGCAGTGGTGGGGGCTGCTGGTATCTCAGATGCAAAGCTAATGGGTCATGAGCGAGACCAGTGGAGAGCGACCCCAAGATCTGGGACTGCAGAGCGGTCAGGATAAGTTGATGGGGACACTCAGTGACCATGAAAAGTAGCAAGAAAGCAGCCATTCCATGAACACAGCCATGGTGCAGTCTGAAGTGGAAGGCAAGGCTTGGTTTCTGGGGTTCAGGCGTGGGAGTGGGGAGGATGAGACACAGTATAACTTCTAGGCTTGTTTGCACCTCAGTGAGATGCTGAGGACTTCAGGTCCCTAGCTCTGACATCCACTTTGTGTGCAAAGCAAGCCTGGTAAAGAAAGGGCCTGGCCGCCCTATTCCATCTGGAGAATGAGGAAAATACACCACATGCTGCTGACTGATAACCAAGAGATGGATTGGAAACCCTGGGTTCTCACGGGGGCCAGATGGCAGGCAGCCCAGGACAACGCACCCAGTTCCAGGCAGCAGTTCAGGGCAACTTTATCCACCACCAACATCCATTCCCAACATTCCTGCTGCCACTCACCAGCGGAAGGAAGGCGTGTGGGTGCAGGTTATCTCAGGAATGGCCCGCCCTGAGTTCAAACTGCCAAGTGCATTCCTGTGAGATTTTTTTAGTTCTGTTCATCAACATGGGGTGTTGAGATGGGACTAGTTCGCTTGCACTCTAGAAAGAAAGCATATGAGAATTGGGCTTGCCTACTTGGAGAAGAAAATGAAACTTAGCAGCATCTCTTCATCACATAAAAATGTTTGGAGGTTGGTGGTCCAGAACTGGTGTGGTGACATCGAGGATGTCTCATAACCTCTAGCTTTCCACTCTACTGTCTCTACTGTACTGAACATCTGTCTTCAAGGCCACCTGGGCTTCAGAACAGCTGCTGACGCTCCAGCTGTCCCAGCCACGCACCTATCAACGGGAAGCCAAGGGCAGAAAGGATAAAACTGTGAGCTAAGTCCCGTCTTTGGGGGCCACACCCAGCACAAGGGGTGTCACATGGGACATGGACATTCTTACATAGTCACATGAGCGCTGTTTGAATTCAGGTGTGAGGAAAGCTCCAGGGTCGGTGCTGTGCCCTCAGGGTAGTTACTGGAATCCAGAGGCAGAGCCACCCAACACTGCCATACATACCCACACAACTCTGCCCACACCACGGGGAGGAAGGAGGAGGAATTCAGATTCCAAGCCTCGATCTCCTTCTCTGATCTCCTGCCAAGACCTCCCGTGAGTTAAAACCAGTGGGTTTGGGAGTTCGTTGGTGCTGGCCACTCTCTGAGGACAAAGGATGCAGGGGTCAAAGGTGATTTCTAGCTACATACTGGTCACAAGAGAGACCATTGTGGGCTAGGCGCACTGTGAGACAGAAGTGGACCCACTGAGAAGGAAAAAGAGGAAGCAGGTGGTGATGGGCAGCTAGGGTCTGAGCCACAGCAGGACAAAGGCAAGGTCCCAGCGGGACAGCACCTCCAGCAGTGAGTGGTGTGCTGAGGTCTGTACAGTGCGGAGTGGTTGCCCAAATGGACAGCTCCAGAAAGAGCACCGTGGGCAGGGGTGGCAGGCGCAGAGCCCCATGGCAGGCATAGTCTCACCAGGGTCTTGGAGACTGCTGTCCAGGCTGGGGAGTGAAGGCAGAGGAGATGTGTGGACCCAGTCGAGAGGACGTGGAGATGTGTGGACCCAGTCGAGCTGTGCATGAGGGTCAAGATCTTGGTATGAGGCTGATGGAAGATTGAGAACATGCCCTGAGCAGATCAGCTACCAGGAGTCCTGTTTGCAGAGGTTCTGACTATGGGTAGGGAAGGACTGGCTTGAGGATGAGAATGTGAAGTAGGGAGGCCAGCAGGGGTGGGGTGGTCGGGTAGGGTGCTGGGGGAGGACAGCAATGGACCCCAGTTCTGCTTCCAGGTAGGCGGTGCATTGTGCTAGGCAGGGGTGTTGCAGCAGGCAGGTGGTACAGAGGGGAGAGTTTCTAAGAGTGCCTGAATCAGGCCAATCATGGTGCCTTATGCAGACAGAGGGCTTCTATTGCCATGCTAATAAAACACTGTGACCAAAATCAACTTGGGGAGGAAAGAGTTTATTTCGTCTTACAGGTCGTAGTCCACCATCCCAGGAAGTCAGGCAGGAACTGAGGCGGAAGCCATAGAGGAATGCTGCTTACTGGCTTGTTCCCGTGGCTCACTCAGCCTGCAGCCTTATAGGAACCAGGACCACTACCTAGGGATGGCACCACCCACAGTGGGCCGGGCCCTCCCACATCATTCATCAACCAATAAAATGCTCCATGGGCTTGCCCATAGGCCAGTCTGCTGGGAGCATTTTATCAATTGATGTTCCCTCTTCCCAAGTGACTCAAGCCTTGTTAAGTTGACAGAAAACTAGCCAGCCACAGATAGAATGAAGGCTTCCCACAGACAAACTGCTTTGCAGGTGTTGCTTTCCGTGACTGAGTAACTGGCTCTGTGACCCCACCCACCCACCCAAACTTGGGGCACAGCTCCAAACATGCACTGTATCCTTAAACACTTCCCTGGTGTGGCAAGCTTCCTGTGCCTGAATGTTCCTGGGTGAGCAGGCTCTCTGCAGAGTTTCTGCATTCACACCCTACCGCATTCCTCATGGGGGTCTCTCATTCCTCCTTCCCTGAGAGACCCCCCTTGGGGTTTCCTCCTTGAAGCCTCCACAGCAGAGCCACAGAGGATGCAGGGGAAATTGCCAGCATGACTCTCGAATTTCATCTCAGCCGAGTTCAGCAGCCGAGTTCAGTGTGGCTTCCTCAGCATCTGACTGATTGATTTGGGGGTTTGGAACACCAGCTTGATTTTGCAGTTCCCCAGAGTCCGGTGTTCCCCTTGACACTGTCAACCAGGAAACCATGTCTAAGATGCCGTTCCTGGGATCCTGTGCCATCCCTGTGGCTCCTGACCGAGAGCCTGGAGCTGACAGCATCTGGTACACCCTGAGCCTCAGCTCCCCCTCTGCCCAGATGTTGCCTCTGGGTGAAGTGGCTCTTAAACAGGTGTTTCTAGGGCCAGGTGGCCTAAAAGGAGTCTCTTTGCAATATATGTCATTCCAGAGACGCTTAAAGCTGTCACATGAGCTCTGCGACCTCAGGATGGGCCAGGACAGAGGTGCTTCTTGGCCCTTGGCCTGAACTTAGAGCCTTCACCACCATCTGTGCTCTGGGGTCTTGGAGTGCAACAGGATGGTCCCTTCCGCATCTGCTTAGTGGCACCTTCAGCAGGAGTAGAACCAGTCAGGTGGTGGGTGCAAGTTGTGGTATTTGTAGCCACAGCCAGCCCATTCCAGGCCATTGCTAAATAGAAAATGCCAGGTAGGGGGTGGTCCTGAAGGGGGTCCATCCAGTACCCATGGGTCCATCAAGAAAGGTAGCCATCAATTCAATTTTCTCAATATTCCAGTAGTGTCTCCCAGTTCATGTGATGCTGGAGTCTGAACCTGGGACTTTGTGTGTGCTGGCACAGTGCTCTACCACTGACCCACATCCCCAGCTCTGCTTTGGTTAGTTTGTTTTTTGAAACAGGGTCTCTCATATAACCCAGGCAGGCCTCCAACTTGCCATGCAGCTAAGGACGACTGGGAACTCCTGATCCTCCAACCTCCACCACCACAACCAACACACACACACACATACACACACACACACACACACACACACACACACACCACTCACACATGCACATACACAGACACACATACACACACACACACACACACACACCACTCACACATGCACATACACAGACACACACACACACCACTCACACATGCACATACACAGACACACACACACACACACACACACGTACACACCACACTACCTCTGGGATTACAGGCACATACGGCCAATGCGGCTTTTTTATGTGTTGGTGGGACTGGAACTCAAGTCCTCGTGCTTGCATGGCTGGCACTTTACCACCTTGCCCACAGCAGCCCTGGGACCATGACCATGACTTTCACTGTAGTAAAAGGTCCTCGTGATCAGAAGGAAGCATTTGGACTGAAAGTATTAACATCCTCACCTTCATTCCACCCTGGCCCCCAAGCCACAGTGTTTAGTTTTTGTTACAGAGGAAAGAGCTCACAGTGTGAGAAAGTCAAGTGCCCAAGAAGCCTCCATGATATCCCAGAAAAACATCCTGGCTTTCGAAATGCGGGTGGGGAGCCATGTTCTGCTGATACTGAGAAGATGTGACCAAGTACTCCGGCAGTCTGACTGTGGCCTTCAACTGGGACTGCTTCTGTGTTAGTCACAGGCACAGTGGTCTCCACAGAGAGGGGGATCCTTGCCCAAAGGCTCCTACTGGAACATTCTGTGCTGGGGTTATCTACGGCTAAGATTAGAAGCAGAGTAGAAAGGCATGGGCATAGACGCACAGCCACTGTCAGCCTGTGTACTCAGTCCCTGATCTAGCGCTTGGAAACTTTGAAACGACTCAGAACAAAGATAACTCTTCCTCCCGAGTCAGTGGAGATAAGCGGAGGATACAGCGGTCTGAGGCCCACCCTGCAGGTGCCTCTAAAGAGGCTCCATTGAAAAAACTTGAATATAATGGGGCTTGGATCTATGGCAGCACAGGTCCTGAGACACGTGCTTCCTGTTGTGACAAGAAGGGCAAAGTAGCCGGCCTGAGGAGAAGGTGGGCTTATCAGGACAGTGACTTCCCAGGTCCTTTGAGGTTCTGTCGGCCAAAGGTGGACTTTGCCTTTTACAGTGAATGAGGCAGGTATCTGCGGGAGAGTGCCTGAAGGAACACGATGATATTGCTTAATCTGTTAGAAATTGCTCTCTGGCTGCTGAGGGGAGAACACAGTGCAGATGACTTAAGCGTCTCCTGCAATAGTCCAGGCATGAGCTCCTTTGCTCACATGCAGATTAGCGTCAAGACTCTGAGGTTGCGGACTCCGGTTGTGTTTTTCCCCCATCCCGGTCTGCCTCCCACCACTTTCCCAAGGAGACCCCGCCCTCCAAGACTCTGTTTACCCACGAGGTAAAACAAGCAAGCATAGGTCGGCATCATCTCCTTAAATACCATCCAAAGAGCCTCAGGAGGTTATTGCATGGGGTGGTATGCACTCCACCCCAACCCAGGATGGTAGTCCTCCGGGGAAGGGACGGGACGGGAACCTCTTCAGCGCCAGGAATGGCAGAAGTTGACTCATGTTTTCAATCCTGAAAGTCCCCGGGGTGACAAGACGGCTCGGTCATTAAAAGTCATCGTGTCACACAAGCATGAAGTCCCAAGTTCCATCCCCAGCACCACATAAAAGCCAGGCTGCACTGGAGGGGCAGAGACAGAGAATCCTTGAGGAACCAGGCCGCACTGGAGGGGCAGAGACAGAATCCTTGAGGTTCACCGACCACCAGTCTGCCACATTGGCAAGCACCAGGTTCCATGAGACACCCTGTCTCAAAAAGAGCTGATGGCACTCAGTGTTGACCTCGGGCCTCCACATACAGGTATGTCCACTGCACACATGTCCACACACATATAAAGGGGAAGGAAGAAGTCCTTGGTACCTGCTAAGTCCCTATGGATAACCCTTGCTCTGACTCAAGTCTTTACAAGAGGTAATGAGCCTGGGGCTCGGTGCAGATGTCTTGTCTAGAACCTTCAAAGGCCTGGGTTCCATCATCAACA